TCTGTTTACCTCCACATTGTTATTTTTTCTGTCCACTTCATATATGGTACCATATGGAATTGATATGTCATGTGTTTTCATTTTTGCACACCTTACTCAGAGAGGTTATAACTAATAAATGCCTGCAGACATTGGACAGTCATAGGTTGCCCTAATGAGACTTAAACAATTCTCAATATTGGCTTTACAGTCAACAATGGGTTCCTTTTGTTAAAAGCGTTGGTTATATTCCTGTGTACCTCTTTAGCAGGTTCACGTAGACCAAATTAAATTATTGCTGAAATGGATAATATAATATACATTGCCAGTGATATGATGTTGTTTCTCAGTTTCTGCATTGCCAATAAAAAATAGAACTGAGAAATACAATTTGTGTCCTGACAGATTTATGCTAGCTAGCTCCTAGGGTCAAGTATGGAAATTGTATTACGTTATCAGGGAACAGTTAATTGGAAATGACTTCTCAACTTTGATGAATAGTTTGCTGGATAATACATGGAGAGGATAATTCGATAACTCCGATAAGCACCCTGCAAAGTTTTTGTCACTATCTCAAAATTAATTGATTGCTCCATCACTTTCTTTTGGTGTTTCTACCTAAAGCAAACTCCAAGTTGCGGTTTTCAAAAGTAGGTTGATGGTGGAGGGTTCATGAATAGTCGATGAACTATTCATTACTTTTAATATACATGCGTGTGTCTGACATTGCATTCATTTGCTAACCTGAACTGATGAATTATTGATTCTCTCCTGAGCAGTGATGTTCCTCTCTAACTCCTACAGGTGAGGTAATCTAGGCTGGCCCTTCATTGGAAGGCAATAGCTAGAGTCGCTGACTGGCCCTTCAGGTGAGGTAATCTAGGCTGGTGTCTCTCCTTTGTTATCCTGCTGCTAAATCTGCTTCTGCATTTACTTGATTGGTCTTTGTGTGCAAGAATGACTACACATGATTTGCTTGAATGTTTGTGTCTTGGTTTGCTTGAGGGCAGCGAGACGAGGACGAGCTCGGCGAGGGTGGTCCGGGACGACGCATGGCTTCGGGTCAGCGGAGTTGGCGTGGATCGGCGACGACCTCGGCGTGGTGCGAGGTGGACGTCGTGGCATGGCACGTCTACCTGCACCGTCGATGGACCAGTGGCTGGGAGTCTGGGGCGTGCGAGACGTTCAAGCCCTTGGGGAGGCGAGGCAGAGAAGGTCAAGCAGGTTGTAAATTAGATGGTTGAGGCGAGACAACTTTATTATGCCTTTATGCATGTCTTTTTTGGATTATATGCATCGTCATATACAATTGCGTGAAACTTGAACTATGAGAAAAAAAAATATCATTGTTCGGTTGTTTTCATGGACATCCTTGAAATGAAGCCGTAGCCGGGCATACCTGTGGCTGATCTGTTTGCATACGATGGGGTTGTTCTGTGCCTGTTCCGGGCCCTTTGCTCCTTGTTGGAGGACCATTACATGTCGGCGGACTAGTTTTGGCCCACGTTATGATCTGACTTGCTTCCCAGTTTTCACCTCATGCATGCAGCCCAACCCAGAGCAAGCTTGTCCAAATTTCTCTTCTGCGCTAGCTAGGATCGCTTCTTGTTCCTAATAAAAAAAAAAAAAAAAACACACTAGGATCGCTTCTTTCCCCGTGCAGTTGTAACAAAAAAAAAAAAAAAACAGTGTTGAATCATCTAAAAGAACAGTGTTGAATAATCTTTGTGCCTTCCGTGACAATGCTAATGTCGGCCGGCCCGAAGGCAGCCGCACATCTGTGTATGCTAACAATGCAGAATGGCTCCAATCTAAATTCACTTCTTTTTACTCTTTTGAAATTGGAATGCCAAACACCCAAACAGCAACTCCTCATATACAGTACAACAAACTTCATGGTCTCATGAGTCATGAACTCATGATCAACGGGCAACGGCTTCGTCGCACGGCATCAAGTTTGAGCCGCCACATGCATCGGTAGTCATCATTCCTGTGAGCTTTTCGGCCGGGTTGGTGGTGGAAGCATGGGAGGTGCCTGCAAAAGCCAGATGAACATGCAGACATTTATATCGCCATTCGCCAGCATTGTTCTTCCTGGACCTGGTGGGTAAGGCTCTTAACAGTCCAACTGGACCCGAAGAATTCAGAGCAGAGCGAGAGGAGTGTGGCCTGGCTCGGACCCGAAGAATTCAGAACAGAACGAACTTGCAGGTTCAGCTTGCCATGTGCATGCGTTGCTGCCGCCAGCTTTGTTTTGCAATGCGCATGCACGGATCTATCAATTAATCTGCAAAGGCGACGAGCGCCGGGGAGAGCAGACATCGCTATCTGATCAACTACCGCCTTTCGTCTGGCTCTGGCATTGGGAGCATCCTGTCTACCTGACGTGTCCTGATCGATGAGCTTAGTGGCAAACAGCTCTCCCTCTCTGTGCCAGCTCGATCGTACACAGAGTCAAAATCATGTGTATCGTGGCTGGTTGATCGTTACGTTGCAACTGCGCTATCATCGGCCCGTCCTTAGTCTATTAATCATTACATCATGGAAGATCTTTGATCGACGGCGCCATATTTAGACATTGAAATTCTTGCATCGAGGGCAACCTTGCTCTTTCTTCTTCATCTCTCCGAGTCTCTTGTACATTGCGTTAAGGCCGGCCAGACTGCGGTTCAAGAGTCGCCGTCATCGAATTCCAATTCTAATGCATCGGTCGAATTCATTTCTGAATCGGGAGTCTGCACCCTTCACGCATCACGCCTCATGTTGCAGATTTTCAGATAAATAAAGGGTAGTACTAGTACAGTATTGTCTTGGGTCCTGCTTATTCCTGTGTCCATCTGTTATTTGTTTCTCTCGTAAGCGAGAGGGATGATTTGGGTTGAACCATGGCTCATGGAAAGCACGCGGGATAGTTTAATAGACCAGTTGACACGCGGCTGCGTGCCTGCGAACATGTCCTCGCTGTATAATATCCTATCCGGACAGCTTGTGTCCGAACGACCAACAATTTCGTTCGTCCAGGTACAATGCGCTGTAACGGACAAGCCAACATGTCCGGTGAACCAAACCGTTCAGTGTTCGTGGACAGCAAGTCCTTTTTCGTCCGTCCGGACAAGACTCGGGATCACATGTAATGCGAACCTCTTGGAGTTACACAACTTGTTATGTTGTAAGTTGATAAATTTCTATAAGCGAATTGAGACACTTAGCTGCTTAGGTTTCTTACATTGAAACTTATCCACGTGGGTTCTAAATTGTCGACTCGACGAGTTAACGTGGAGGTTCGTATTTTTCTGAAATTATTTTATGATTTAATGGGGCTATTTCTCAGTAAATAGATGTTATAGATAACAAGACGGCTATAATGACTTTGTTAATCTCAACATTTGCCAATTTAGTTGTTCCGAGGTACTCATGGAGTCTAGGACATGTGCATATAGATTCGTATGATTGAGTGTATATAAGGGCACCCACGATGGTGAACCGACTCATTGAGGCACGTCAAGCAAATTGAAGAGTCGACTCCTAGCCCAACAGGTATCGTGGGCCCCACAAAAGAATAAAAATCACATGCAAACAGCTTTTTGCTCAACCGCACACACGTTTCTTGAACTTCACGGAGGGGCGTCTCATCCGCGGAGAGGCGTGCCTCCCTCGTCACCGCGCAGTCAACTGCCTCCACGCATCTCTCCCTTATCGCTGCGGAGGTGCGTGCCTTCCTCATCATTGGGCCTGAAGGGTACCGCCGCGCAGCCCTCACCGCTTATCTCACTCCACTGCCGCCCAACTTGCTCCACTGCCGCCGTTGCCACCCGATTCGCTCCGCCACCGCACGACTGGCTGACAACGCGAGCCGAAATCATTCTTTATTCAGGAAGAGTCGACTTTGAATCATGAGTCGGCTTTTCTCTCTCCTCCTTATGATTCGATTGCTCCAGTCGTTGAGTCGATTCATCTGGCTTCCACGTCGGATGGTGAGTCGCTTTGCCATTATATATATATATATATATATATATATATATATATATATATATATATATATAACAATGACCAGGTTTATAGGAAAAATATAGCAAACACATATAGCATCAAATTAGTTTTACTAAATTTTACATGGAATATGGTTTGATATGCATTTTTTTGAACATCACCTAATATGTTTCCCTTAAAAAATGGTTTAGACCGACGAAATTTAATAACTTATAAAAAGCCAATGTGAGTTAGAACTTGAAAGGATGGAGTACTATTCAATTTCACATTGTCCTCTCGATCTCCCGCACTGTTATTTTATTTCGCATATTGAGTACAGACACAGTAGTGCAGTACCTTATCTGTTTTTTTTTTTTAAAAAAAACATCTTCCTAAGTCTTGTGACCGTTACAATCTATGACATGCAAAAGTCAAAACATAGCTTGATGCGTGCCTTGACCTTGATGCCTGTGCGCGCGCAGAATTGTATTGCAGCCATTAAGCCACATGCGAATGTACAACACAGCCTCAGTCAGCACCAATCGATATTTGTCCCAACGGCAACGGCCATTATCCACGCGACCCCAGCGACTGCGAAACCGTTCGCCCATGGCCGCCGCCGTTCACACGTCGGCGTCACATCAACCGCGAAGAACTTGCCGCCAGACCACCGCCAATTCACCATTAATCATCGTGCACCACCTGGACAGCGTGCGGACAGACAGTAACACGTCCTCTTCTGCGAATTCTATCCACTCCACCCCTCGCCGCGCCCCGGCGCCGGGCCGGACGCCCGGACCTCATGTCCTCGTGTAGTTATCTGCTCCGTCCGTCCGTTTCCCCACGCATGTTCCCATCATATTCCACGCGCCCTCGCCGGTCGTAACCACCGGGCAACCACCGCCCGCTCACTCAGTACGCCGCGCCCCACCACCAGCTCAGCTCCAGCCGTGAGCCCGTGACGGTGTACCCCGCCCCGCTTCTAGCCCAGCAGCCCCCTATATGAACCAATCCCCGTCACTCTCTAGACTCTGTACCCACAAATCCACACAATGGCAAGCCGCATCGCCGTGGCCGCCGCGTTCCTGGCGCTGGCGGTGGTTCCCGCGGCGCTGGCGCAGGCTCCCGGCCCCGCGGCGACGCCGAGCGGCCCGCCGAACGTGACGGCGATCCTGGAGAAAGGCGGGCAGTACACGACGTTCATCCGTCTGATGAAGGAGACGCAGCAGGACACGCAGCTGAACAGCCAGCTCAACAGCTCCTACGCCAGCAACGGCGGCGGGTACACGGTGTTCGCGCCCACCGACAACGCCTTCAACAACCTCAAGCCGGGCACGCTCAACTCGCTGACGCAGCAGCAGCAGGTGGCGCTGGTGCAGGGCCACGTGCTGCCCCAGTTCTACAGCATGGACTCCTTCCAGACCGCCAGCAACCCCGTCCGCACCCAGGCCTCCGGCCGCGACGGGCCCTACACGCTCAACATCACCGCCACCACCAACAACCAGCTCAACGTCTCCACGGGCGTCGTCGAGGTCACCGTCAACAACGCGCTCAGCGCCGTCAAGCCGCTCGCCGTCTACTCCGTAGACAAGGTGCTCCTGCCCTTCGAGCTGTTCGGGGCCGAGGCGCCCGCCGCCGCGCCCACCGCGTCCGAGGGGAAGCCCAAGAAGGGTGGCTCCTCGGACGCCGCCTCCGGGCCGGCCGGCGCCGACGACGCCGCGCCCACGGGGGCTGCCAGCGCCAGGGCCCTCGGTTGGAGCGTCGCTGGCCTCGCCGCTGTTCTTGGCTATCTGTTGTGAGAGTGAGACCGTCATTTCTATTTCTAGGGACGGGCGACGAGCTAGTTGAAGATGAGAATGTCATGCCGGAGTTGATTCGGGCGGCTTCTTCCATCTTTGTCTGAGATTGTCAGTGGTGGTGTTCCCTTCCGATGCCCTTCTTTCTCTCTGTTTATTTAAATTTCTTTGATCTCGCTAGCTTCTTATTTGTATTATTGGTGGTTTGTAAGATTGGGTTATGATTCGATTATGCGTCTGCGGCTGTTGATACTGCATCACTACTCTTGAGTAAAGCGCCGACAAATCTCTTGCACCAGATTTGTCGGCGCTTTACTCTTGTTAGGTGAGACAATGATTCGGCTACCGAATCGGACAATTAACGTAATGTTTAGTTGGTCCAAGTGTGTTTTCTGATTGATGCCATTACACGTTAGTTTTCGGTTTTGGATTTATCAACAAATGGGGTAGGCTAGTAATGGAGTTGGTGGAAGAGAGCGCAAAAGGTTTGGGCGAGCACGTGGTGCCAGGTTCGTTTGGTAACCAGTCGATTCTACATTTCTTCCACTCAACTGACAACTGGAGTACTTTTCTGCATGGAACAGCCAATGCAGCGTCTTTGGTTGAAGGTTTGTGGCTTTCTGAAACCAGAAACTTCATCTAACGTGCATACTGACTCATCAGTCATCACTCATATAGTCATCACATATAAGGCCTTGTCTAGATTGCAAATTTTTGTAATCTAAACACTGTAGCACGTTTCGTTTGTATTTGACAAATTTTATTCGATCATGGACTAACTAGGCTCAAAAGATTCGTCTTGTGATTTACAACCAAACTGTGTAATTAGTTATTTTTTTTACCTACATTTAATGTTCCATGCATACGTCTAAAAATTAATGTGATAGAGAGAAAATGAAAAAACTTGGAATTTTGAGGTAATCTAAACAAAGCTAAGTTGTTTTCGTTTTAACTCTCTAATCCAAAATTTTGAAACAAATCGATGAAATGTCACATCCAAATAGATTCCAACCAACGATATAGGCCTTGTTTAGTTGCCCTAATTTTAATTTGATGGATGAGAAAGTGAAAAACTTGGAATTTTGAAGGCTAAATATGATTTAAATCAAAACTAAGGCCTAAGTTGTACTTTTTTTAACGTTTTAACTCTCTAATCCGATCGGAAATTATTCAAATAAAACAAATCGATGAAATGTCACATCCAAATAGATTCCAACCAACGATATATTCTCTTGACATGTCTCATCATTCAGGTCGCATTGTCTTCCCAGGGCACTCTTGTTGTTCAGTTAGGCCCTTGTTTAGTGTCTGTTTAGTTCTCAAAATTTTTGCAATTTTTTTTAAGATTTTTCGTTACATCGAATTTTTAGATGCATACATGAATCATTAAATATAAATAAAAAATAAAACTAATTACACAGTTTAGACGAAATTCACGAGACGAATCTTTTAAGCCTAATTAGATTATGATTGGACACTAATTGCCAAATAACAACGAAAGTGCTACAGTACCATTTTCCAAAAAAATTCGTCAACTAAACAAGGCCCTTAGTTCTCCAAAAGTGCACTATGCAAAAAGAAAATTTTCCGTCACATCAAACTTGTGGTACATGCATGGAGTACTAAATGTAGATGAAATCAAAAACTAATTGCATAGTTTGCTTTAACTTTACGAGACGGATCTTTTGAGCCTAATTAGTCAATGTTTGAACAATAATTCACAAATACAAATGAAATGCTACAATGAAAAATCGCGCCCTAGAACAGCTATGACGCAGATGCTTTCCACGTCCTGATTCATCGCGTCGGCACGACATATACCCTGAGTTCGTACCGTAGTCAATAATCCTGCACCAGGCAGGCATTTCTGCGCTGTCAAGCGGGGGTATATACAAGTTGCGACGCATCACTACTCTCAATCATCATCAAATTTTATTTTTATTTTTAACATATTTTAAACTAATTTTTAAACTAACAACATTTTTTTTTTTTCAAATTTAACACTTTTGGTCGCGCCTATTCGCACGGCGCGGTGATTTAACGCTGTCGTGCCATGCATGGGGCGTGGCGAGGCTGCCCACGTGGCAGCGACCAGGGCCCCTGACCGGTGACGTGACCAGCTCTGCCGCGCCATCGATCAGGGCGCGACGGTGATGCGCCACGCATCATGGCGTGGCGATGGCGCGCCACCATCCAGGGCGCGGCAGAGCCTAATATAGGCCCGCGGCCTAGTCCCGCCCCTCCCTCTCTGTATCAATCATCAGGGCACAACAGCCGCCTCCGTGCCGCCCTGCCCCCGCCGGCGCGCCTCCCAGCCCACACCGCCGCGCCATTGCCTCCCAGCTCCCCCACGGCCAGGCGCTGAATTTTCCTCCCTTGGCGTTCCCCTTCATACCTTCTCCGAAGCTCCTCCTCGGCCTTGTCAAGGTAATGAAGCTCCTCCTCGGCCTCCATGGTGGATCGAATGATTTGAATGAGTAGGTAGGGTATGCACGAAAATATGAGTTCGTTAGAACGTTGGATTGAAGGATTATGATTAGAATTGCCAATGTTAAGGTTAATTGGTTAGTTAGAATTATGATTATCATGTATTTTGCTTGTTTGAGTTTGCATCTCTACTTTTATATGTGAATAAATATATGGACATACTGTTGATGTACCAAATTTTATTTTTTACTGACCAAATTATAGTTTTTATATAGTTTTCATGTTTGCATCTAAGATAGAGTTTGCAACAAAGTGTAGGTTATATTTTATTTGTTGTAATACTAATGGTTCTCATTGACATTAATTTGTGATGTTTTGATTTTTGTTCGTTAAATTACAACCGTTTTGTTAGATGTAAGAAATGTATCGGGAGGAGTTTTGGCAAAAATGGGGTCGTCCTCGAGAATTATACCCCGACGTGTCTAGCAAAGATGCCCCCGTCCCTCCTGACCTCCATGTCCCTAACTGTGACTGTGGTTTTTCGACCGACGTGTTTCAATCGAGACATCCAGACACAGCGGCACGTTGCTTCTACACATGCAGTCGTTTTAATGTAAGTAATTGTTTTCACTATCTTTTTTCTTCATTTATGTAAGTAGTCTACTAATATTTTGTTGCAATCTTGTTGTGTAGGACCATGAGAGGTGCTTTTTCTTTTAGTGGATCGATGGTGCAGAGAAGTTTGACCCTTGCTACCTCCTTTTTGATGATTGGTGTAGAGGGAGATATCCACATGAGCACTTCCAATGTTGGGTTCCACCCCCCCTAACCCCCCACCAATGACAGCTAAGGAGAAGCACCTAGCCGTAGTTAGACGACTCGTGGAACCTTCTCTGTGCGAATACGGAGATCGAGCTGTGATAAACCCTGAGAATACGTTGGAGTTTGTGTGTCCGAATAAACACGAAGTAAGTGGAAAGTGTATCTGTTTAAATGTTTATCTCTATAGATGTGCGTGTACTAATGTATTCTCTTGTAGGATTTGTGAAGTGTTGTTTCAATGAATGGCTCTACGGTCCTAAGAATCAATGGCCGGAGCCACCAAAGGCAAAGGAAAAGAAGAAAGAAAGGTTAATTTACAAAGCCCATCCAGTCAAACGCGAATGTGGTGTTAAATCCAACTACGGTGTAGTCCCTTTGGAGCTTGGAATAGGTCATTATTGCAGCCATATGGTTGACTATAATGAGGTTGATTATTTTTTTGGTAAACATGAAATCGTATTTTGTTTCTTTTGTTAAGATATATATGTATAATTTTTTATTTGAACAGAGCACTAGGAAATGCAGGTGGGAATGATATAATGGTCAAGCTAAGTTCTTGGATGAACCGAAGAGGAGGCAAGTAATTACACGGAAGAAGGGATATGGATCTAACTACGTTAACCTATTCGTTAAACATCACAAAAACAAGATGCGTGAGTTTGCTAGGCAGCGTGGTATTCGTAACCCGATCGATGTTGGGCTTGACAAATGGGGATTGGAGAGACGAAGGACGTTAGAGGAGGAGAGGGCAATGAAGGAGGCAAGGGAGGAGAGAAGAGTACAGATGCAGGTCTTGAACGAGCATGTTGTTGCATTATATGCCACTGAGTGCTTGAAAGCTTTTTTCGTTGCCTGATTTTAAATGTAATATAATCGCATTGCTAACTGATTGCATTTTATATATGAAGGGATTGGATGCCTCGAGTACCATGTCGCAGAGGTGGCTTAAGCAAGGTATGAGGAAAAGAAGTTAGATGAGCACAGAACATGAGCTGGTCGCACCGTTCAATCATCGATTGTGTTGTGTGATGAGGAGGATGAGGATGAGGACGACACTATCAGGTTGAGCAATCTCATTGCTCTTGCTGAGGTGGGCTTGTAGGCGGAGGAGGCAGAGGACGACAGTGGTAGACTGAGCGAGTTCATCGCTCTAGCAGAGGTGGGCTTGCAACGGAGGAGGCTGAGGACGACACTGGTAGACTGAGCGAGCTCATCGCTCTAGCAGAGGCGGGCTTGCAGGCGGAGGAGGCTGAGATCGACACTGGCAGACTGAGCGAGCTCATCGCTCTAGCAGAGGTAGGCTTACAGGTGGAGGAGGATGATGACGCGTTCTTCACTCAGGCCACAGAGGTCGCTTACTATAGGCAACACGTAGGTCAGAGCAATGCAGGTGAGCCTAGCCATAGTAACAAGGTTGTGGTAGAGGACTGGTACTCGGATGATGAGTTGCTTCCTCAGTATGTTTCAGACTGAGAATTTGAAAGTGCATTTACCCCCTATGTGGGTTTTGGTGCATTGATGACATCTAAATTAGGGACTAATATGATCTTAATGAGATATGTCGTAGCTATTAGTCCCATGAAAGATTCAAAGAGTTGATAAATATGAAATGGTATCCCTCAATTCTTGAAGTTGTAAAGGCGGATGAACTCAAAGCGCTTTCCAAATGTTTTTTTTTGTTTTTGAGTTTAGGATCCACTGCACTATAAAAAGGATGCAAACTTAGTTGGTCTGAGAAAGATAGAGTGCTCAAG